TAGGGCGTTTGCCTTGCACGCGGCCGACCTAGGTTTGATTCCCGGCATCCCATATGGTCCCCCAAGCACCGCCAGGAGTAATTCCTGAGTGCAGAGCCAGGAATAACCCCTGAGAATCGCAGGGTGTGACCCAAAAAGCAAAAAAAATGGGGTCCAAATGCTCTGCTACTAGATAGGTTTATCTGATAAAAAGTTATTTCTGATTAAAATTAAGTCTTAATTTTGGATAATATCTCAATTTCATTTGTGTGGGTAGAAAAGGGATTAGTATAGTACTCCATTGTATAGTAGTCCATTGTGCATTCATAACAGCTTTTTATCAGTTCATTTCTTTTTGGACATTTTGGTCATTTTCTTTTTATAACTATTGTACTAAGTGCTTCAATGAGCACCAGATATGCTTAAAACTTTTCAAATTATCTCATTATCAGCCATAAGAGCCTTTCTACCCTTACCTGGCAATGCACATGCAGGTGATGTGTCTTGGTAACACATGTGAGCATCTTAAAGTCCTACACTTCAAGCAGATTCTATATCTAAATCATTATAATTGTTTTTAAAATTTGTTATTTTAACCACACCTGGCAGTGTTCAGGGATTACTATTTGATCTGCACTCAGAGATCACTCCTGGCAGACACAGGGGATCATTAAACGGTGCTGGGGATTGAACCTGCATCAGCCTCGTGCAAGGCAAATACCCTACCTACTGTACCCAATCTATCACCATTGCTTTCTTTTATAAAATTTTCTTTTTGTTATAATAATTTCGGTTGTGCATTAACAGTGGTATTAATGGGTAAGATTCTTAATATCCACAGTTTCCACACATCACCAAGACCAAAGTGTCCAAACTCCTCCACCAATGACCTAATGTGTAGCCTACCTCATTCTTACATCACTCTCCACTCTCCCCTTTCTCTAGTAATCTCAGTTTTACAATCCAGGGCCAAGGGATTAGCATCTTTTGATACATACTGTCTACTCCTATGTTTTATTTACTGTATACCATAGTTGATTGAGGTCATACAATATTTTTCTACTCTCTCTGACTTATATCTCATAACATGATGCATTCCAATCTGAGTTATGCTAACTACATGGTTTCATCCTTTCTTACAACTATATAGTAGTCCATTGTGCATACATATCAGAACTTTTTATCAGTTCATTTCTTTTTGGACGTTTTGGTCATTTTCTTTTTCTAGCTATTGCACTAAGTGCTTCAATGAGCATCAGGTATGCATATAACTTTTCAAATTAATATATTTGTTTTTGAGGGGGTAGATGCCAAGAAGTGGAATTCTGGGATAATATGAAAGTTCTCTTTTCACTTGTTTGAAAGAAATCTCCATACTGGTTTTCCCTAGAGGCTAAAACAATTGATATTTCTACCACAGTGAATAGGATTGTTTTCCTTCCATATTCCCACCAATACTGTTTCTGGTATTTTTCATATCTTCTGTGCTCACAATGGAGACGTTACTGGGCCTGCTTGAGTAAATCGATGAACAACGGGAGGATAGTGCTACAGTGCTACAAGTGCTATGCTCACATCTGTGAGATGATCCCTCATTGTCATTTTGATTTGCATTTCCCTTTAATGACCGGTCATTGTTTCTTTTAATATTCATCTAACTTTTCTCAAGGTTTTATTTTTAGACACCTAGACAAATTTTAAAAATAGTTCTTGGTCAAGATCTTTCAATTTTTTCTAAAACATATTTTAAGTTTTCTTATGATTCTTGTCATTTTGATAACTTGTTTATCCAGTCATTTAAAACCACATCATTATAGAGAATTGGGAATTATGAGGTATATTCAGGGCAAACTGGAGTGTACAGATTTGGAATCCAAGGACCCTTGATTCTTATCTAGTATATACCTGGCACAAGTAGAACTTAGAAATACAGTGTGTGCATATTGATCCCGGGAGAAATGATGGAGCTTCTAAACTCTCACAAGCAGGAAAGAGCAGTCTCACCTCTCACTAAAGAGGACTGTAAAGAAACTCATTTAATGAGATTTTTTTGCTCCTGCTGCCACTACTTTCTTTAAAAAAATTTGAATCAGAAAATATTCAGCTGGATGGTGTCGATATTTCAGAAGGGCAGGGTATCATTTAGGAAAATGGGCCTTACTGTCCTGAAAGAATTACTGTGCTTCCCTAAGGGCCCAATTTACAAAACAACACATTCGCTGGTAGGTTTTGAAGAGCAATCCTGTTGTCTCAGTAGAACCTTTTCATCTGATTTATGTGTATTGCATTTTACAAATAATTCTTGGAAAGTTATTGGCCAGTCACTTTCTCTGGAAGGAGAGGCTAAGTGCTGTTTCTACTTTAAGTCTAGTGGCACTACGGATCTCAAGTGTATAGCTCATCATGAAATAAAACTGATAATAAAATGCACAATTTCTGAATTTCTATATCTCATTCTTCCAGGGAAGATTGTCATAGTGTCCTTGTATTTTCTGTGAAATTTGAGTATTTGAAATAATATGTGAGTCATGGATATGACCCAGTAGACTAGATTATATGTTTAGCACAAGGGAACATACTTGGTATTCTTGGTAATGCATACTCCTAAGCATTGTCTGGCCCATGAGCAATGCTGAGTGGGCCACTCCGAATGTATCACTGACTAATCCTGCATTTTCTCCTGAAGTACAATGACTTATTTCTATTCTAAACTTAGGGCTGGAGATTGATTAAGTCTTGGTGCTTAACACGCAAGCCTGTCTGGACATATTAGCTTTAAATGACTGGACCTGCTGCTTTTGTAGATCAGTAGTGGTCCAAGGTTAATAGTCATACATACTTGAATCTGCAGGTTTCATACTAGATTGGAACATTAAGGAGTTCCAGTGCAGTTGTCATAGTTCAGAGGGTCTTAATGATAAGAGATAAATTAAAATATTTTGGCTTTTGCTTGTTTTGTTTGGGGCTCATAGCTGGGGATGCTGAGGGTTTATTCCTGACTTTGAACTCAGGAGTCGTTCCTGGATGGTTCAGGAAACTGTATCATGTGCCAGGGATCTAACACAGGTTGCCCACAAGCAAGGCAAGTACACCAATCTTTGTCTGATTGCTCTGGCCCTAATAATAATAACAACAGTTTTGATGTTTCTACCTGCATTGATAGTTTGCCTGAAAATGATATAAGCAGAGAGCCTGCAGTCCACGTTAACCCTTGAACCCCACAACGTTGAACTTATTTGCTCAACCAGAATGCCAAGCTAGCTTTCAGTTGTAGCATTGAAGTTTATTTAGGAGTTGATAAATAGCTTCGTGAAAGGCTTCTTTTTTTCCCACTAGCTGCATCCTCACAAACCTATTCTACCCTCTTCCAGTTAATGCAGACAGAAGATTTTTATCCAGTATGAGCGCCAAAACTACACTGTAGAAGACTGTATACTCAGCAAAACCTCATCCATGATGAATAAACAGCTCTTCCGGGGGTTTTGCTGCCGCTGGCTCGGCAGGAGTTGTTTATTGCCTGGTTTGCACATCCCATGATAAAGTTGCTGCTGAAATAAATTGCAGTTTTGCATAATTATTGACAATCACATCTTAACAAGCAATGTGTATCATATTCAAGTGTTCAATTTTTAAATCCATTTTTAGCTTATGTTTAATCTCAGAAGTGTTTATGTAGTAATAAAAGGCAAATATAGCATTTAATTAGAGTACTAATTTCCTCATTGCTGACAAAATTTACCTGAATCTTTTTAGATGGGATTCTTACTGCCTAAGGCAATTTTCCCTCCCAAGCTATTATTATGTAGCTGTTTGCCATGGACATTTATGTGTCTGTGATGCATGCATGCATTATATATAGAGACAGAAAATGTGGACTTTTAAAAAGATTTTTGCATTATTAGAGAATTTTTTATATCTTCTAAAATATTAGAGAGATGAAAATGGTTTGTGGGCAGAGGAACTAACATTCTTGACTAATGTGTCTGTATAATGTGTCAGGCATTTCGCTTGACACACATTATAATTTCCATTCTCATCATAGTGATAGATATTACTATTGAGAAGCTGAAATCAATGAGGTTCAAGTTTCCATACCACACAGTTGGTAGGGAATATAGGAATTTCAACTCAGATCTATCTGGTGTTTAGGTTCTTCTTTATGACATATTTTTAATTTAGAAAATATTTTCTTTTTCAATCAAAATTTAGAAATTCTTTTAATTAAAATAATTGAGATATCTGTGCACAATAATAATGAAGTCATTATTTTATGTTGCAGAGTACTATGGAAAATACTTGCAATTGTACGACTTTCTGGTAATGAAGCTAATACAACAGTGAGAACTGTTAGAACTTAGTGCTGTGTGAAATTTTTATTTTTCGCCATGTTTTCTATGACATAGGCTCTTTTTGTCATTTTTTTATTGGTCTTCCAATCCCTTTTTATTTTTTTATTCCAGTATTCTACTTTCTATTGTACATTTGTATTTTTTGACTTTTCTCTTTGCCTATTTCATCCTGGTTTTCTCCCTCAGGTGACATCAAAGAATAGGCATGGTGTAGAGATTTTAAAACTTCACCTATAAAGATTAGCTTAAACTTTTGTAGCACATTAAAAGAAACTTTCAGAACTGAACAGCAAACAATGTAGGAAAGCAAAAATGTCTAGGACCAGAAGGATAGTACAGGGGCTAAGGCACTTGCCTTGCATATCGCTAACAGTGATTTGATCCCCGGCATTGCTTATGGTCCCCTGAGCACTGCCAGGGGTAACTGCTGAACACAGCAGCAAGAATAACCCCTGAGCACTGCAGAGAGTGGCCTTTGCTCCCCCAACCCTGGCCAGAATTTCTGAAATAACACAATAACATATTACAGTTTTATTAATAAATGATTACCGTTAATACTAGTAAAATATTACAGTTCAGTCCCTTTATTCTTGTTAGATTCCCAGGGCTCATGGGGTATCCCATTGTAATACTTGAAGAGAGTTAATTATGGATAATTTCTTTTTTTTATAGAGTAAGTGAGAGAGAGGCTGCTTTAGAAGAAACTTACAGATTGCGGCAGCAGTTCCCATTGGACCTGGAAAAGTTTCTTGCCTGGCTTACAGAAGCTGAAACAACTGCCAATGTCCTACAGGATGCCACCCATAAGGAAAGGCTCGTGGAAGACTCCAAGGGTGTAAGAGAGCTGATGAAACAGTGGCAAGTAAGTGAAGCATTACTTTAGCTTTAGGTTTCTTGTGAATCTTGTGATGCTTTAGCTTTCTTGTGAATCCAATTGCAAAATTCTCAACCTTTGTACTTACATTGAAGTGCTAGGTACAAAAAATAATTGTTGGTTTATAGGACCTAATATTTTTCATCATTGGTACAAGAGAGAGAGAGAGATGAGGGTGAAGGCAGCATTATTTATTATTGAACACTCCAGGCTCATAAACTGTAAATGTTTTATCCAGGAAGAACTTGCATGTATAACCATAGCCCTGGTCAAGGAGAAAGTTTGCTCAGCAAAATAAGTTAGAGATTGGTTTATTAAATTGAAAAAGTTGCCATGTTTGAGTGTTTATTTAATATTTTACAGGGAAAGCATCTGTGTGAATTGTCTGTTTTATTTAGCGTTGCTAACTGAATCAGTTTCCCTTCATTACTTTCAAATACATTTTGAAATGTTAATCTAGCATTTTGTAGCTTTCTTCCTAACATGATCAGTGAAAATAAAAATGAGATGGCTAAATTTGTCATAGTTAATGATCATACAGTTTTCAGACAATTGTTTTTCCTAGAAACAAAAATGATTGCTATAAAGATTCATGGGCACAAACAGTAAGAGCATACGTTTAGGGTCATTTTGTTAAATTGAAGTCTTGTTGATAACCATGTTCTGCACACAACGAAAGTCCTTAACTTTATTCTCAGTGTCTAATATAATTTTTCTAACCTTTGGTGAAGTTTTGTTATGTAGAGTTGAGTTTTCTGAGTTGGCGTAAGAACTTGACTGGTACCGCAAATGAAATTTGTAATGTTGTAGTACAGTGATAGATCATTTAGATCGGTGTCAATATAGCACATGATTTGATGGGTGATCAATGCTGCTGCTCCTATGCAAAGCACAGAAGATGGTGACAATTTATGGCTTGCTGGCTCATTCTTGATTTACTATTCTGTTTGACCTCACTTTGCTTGTCTACAATGTGTATTGAGTGAGTTTGGCCATTTAAAAATACTTTGATTAGAACAATCCTGAACGTTGTCTCTGCAGATATTCTCAATGGCTTCCATTCCCAATGTAAAACAAAGTGAAATTATATTTTTCAGTTATTCTTAGATGGTTAGAAAGGGTCCTTCTGGAATTCATGTTTTGTTGTTAATAAAATCTGAAATAACTCCTTGCAAATGCCCAGAAAGCCCTCCTAGATTTTAGTGCATATATGAATTCACATCATTGCATTATCAGTGGTAGAGAAATAGTAAAATTATTAAAAGGCCCTCCCGTTGATCATCGATTTGCTCGAGCGGGCCCAGTAACGTCTCCATTGGAGACTTTGTTGTTACTGTGTCTGGCATATCAAATACGACATGGGGAGCTTGCCAGGCTCTGCCGCGCGGGCGAGATACTCTCGGTAGCTTGCCGGGCTCTCCAAGAGGGGCGGAGGAATCAAACTCGGGTCGGCCATGTTGGCTGCGTGCAAGGCAAACGCCCTACCGCTGTGCTATCGCTAACTCAGCTAATAAAATGTCACTATTAGAGCCAGATAGATAGCACAGAGTTTACAATATGTGCTTTTCCTGTGACTAATGCTGGTTCAATCCCTGGTACCACATGCTCCCTTAGTATCTCCATCTAGAAGTTCTGAGAGTTCCTGAGGCTGGCCTAATGCTCCTAAGTACCACAGAACCCAAGCAGTACCACATCCTCTCATTAAAATACTGGCCCCTGAGCACAACTTGGGAGGTCCCCACCCAAATCACTGCTGTGTGGTGGAAAGGGAAAAATTCTTAATTTTTGTTAGAATTTAAGTTAAGGGCTACTGGAAAGATAAAGCCTATAGAAAGTGAGTCCTTATGAGTTGCACCCCTATCTCTGTCCTTAGTAGAAATTCAGATTTATACCTTCATTTTATATACCATTGTCACAGGTGAGTTGTTATCAGTAGAAGAAATTTTATATTTGATTCACAATTTAAAATATCATTAATCTTTGACAGGGATATGGTAATTTCTAACACTTGATCTGAATAAGAAAATACATTTTTTAAAAAATTGACATCCTTTTGGCTGGTACAACGGGTAGGGTGCTTGCTTTGCACTCTGCCAAACTGTGCTTGATTCCCACCTCCTCATAAGGTACCCCGAGCCTACCAGGAGTGATCCCTGACTGCATAGCCAGAGTCAAGCCCTCAGCATAGCTGGCTGTGGCCCCCAAACAAACAAACAAAACTTTTAGGTCCTTAAATCCAAAGCAGGAAACATACTAAGAGTGAGTAAGGAAATGCAAGTAAAGAGATAACAGTTCATTACAGAATACTTGGATGAGTTGATGCTTGACCTAGTATTTCCAGGCAGTGTGGTCAACCTGGTATTTGCAGATTGTGCAAGTTGCTGGAATCTACATGGATAGGGGCTGTTGTGATTTCACAGCCTTAAGGGAAGAGTTTTCTCTTCATGGTGAATTCGAATCAGCTTCTGCAAATCTATTTCCTGAACCCAGATTTAGTCAACTTTTTTTGGGTATTTTCCTTCATGCTTTCTTGAGAAAGTAAAGAATAATTTAAGATAATTTTGTAATCATTTATAAAACCTCTTAAATTAGTAAAGAAATATGGTTCAGGGTAAGACTACATCTGTCTATCTCCTATATTTTTTATGTTTCCATCTACTGCACTATGCAATAAAAATTTCTAGGTGAAATCCCAATCTTGAGAATCTGTAAGGTTCTAAAGCAAATGTATGTAAGAAATTGTAAGATTCTGAATACAAAATGAGATCACCATACTTTCTAATTTCTAACTACATTTACTATGAAAAATAGGATAATATGCTGTTTGCTTATTTTGGGGATCTTTCAAAAAATGATTGGATAATATATTGAGGAAACTTTCTAAGCTTGTGGTTTGTTACTTATAAATGTGTATTCCTAAAAGTCATCTAAAACTCTTAGTGTTCCTTGAAATTTTAGATATCATTTCCCCCTAACTATAGTAGGACTAAGAATTCAACATTATTTTAAAGCAGAAATAACTTTCTTATTTCTCTCTGTTTATGTTTTGTTTATCATAAATTCCAGTTGCCTGAGGTTGAAACTACATTCTTTGAATAGTAATGACATTTATAGACAGCTATGATTTTTTACTTAGAGAGTTGAATAATGATCCTTTGATGAAAGATTTGAAGATGTAATAGTAAAAATTCTAAACTACTGAATTATTGATTATTGTTAATGACACATTTCAACTGACAAAATTGAATCCAGATAATGAGTTTGAAATCAAGAAATGGAAATGCCATGCTTAAAAATAAGTAAAGCCCTGTATTTTTAGGAGCTTATATGAAATTGCAGTGTTTCAGGTAAATTAAAATGTTTGTCTTTCCCCGAGGATAATTTTTTATTATGAAAAGAAATTTTCTGTAATTCGTGTGAACAAAAACTATATAAAGGTATGACTTTTTACTTTGAAGATGCTGCTGGCCATATTGCATGGTTCATGTTATATATGGCAAGAATAGTTATTCCATATTTTTAAAGGGATTTATGGGACTGAAGAAATATTAAACTGGTTAATGTGTTTCCCTTGCATATGGCCAGCCATGGTTCACTCTCTAGTATATTATGGTCCCCCAGCATTACTGGGAGTGACCCCTGAGTTCAGAGGGGGAGTAACCTCTTGGCACCTCCAGCTATAGCCCAGTCCCTTTACCATCACCCCCAAAATAAGAATTCAGAAACTCCTAGCTAAGGCAAAAAATTCTGACATTTGACCACCCTACTTCAGTGATCTTTTACTTCACACAAATAATACCTAATGAAGACCGGGTAAAAAACCTTCACAAAAGTCATTCTAGCCTACTTGATTGTCACTCTTGTCTATCACCTTCATAGGATACTTAATTTCTCAGGAATAATTGGAATTCATGGGTTCTATAAGCATATAGTATTATGAGACTTGTAATTCCAGAATGGAATTATTCTGATTAATTTCACTCTGAAGCCCATTAAAATTCTTTATATTAGAAAAGAGTGGTATTGCTGTTCTTACTGAAAGCAAGGTCATTGTAGCTTGAGGGTTATTGTTTCTTTTTTTCAACTGTTGCACCACACTGAGCAGCCCTCAAGTGGCTACTCCAGGCTGGGTATTCAGGGGCCACTCTTGGCTCTACTTGCAAGATTACAGGGATGGAACCTGGGCCTCCCCCATAACCATGATCTTTAGCTCTTTGACCCATCTCTCAGTCCCAGAAACATTATAGCTTCTTTATTCTTGTTTTGGGGTTTTGTTGTTGTTGTTTGTTTGTTTTTTTCTTTGTTGTTGTTGTTGTTTGGGGTTTAAAAGAAACATGGCTGTTCTCAAAACTAATTCTTGCTTCCATTCACATGGACACTCCTGGCAGTGCTCAAGGTACTGTATGTGATACAACCCCGGTCAGCCGCAGGTGGCTGCATGCAAGCCACATGCCTTACCTGCTGTACTATCTCTCTGACTCCTGTCCTTGTATTTTACGATGTGTGAAAACTTTTATATGTGTTGTTATTTCTGACAGTCTAAATAAAATTTTAATTTGCCGGTAGAATTGCATATAGTGCCATATAAAGCCTTGAGAGGTAGGAGATGGTCAGGATTTTTTTAAATTGCAAATTTAACCTTAAAATGAAAAACTCTATTCAAATTGAATTAGATTCTTCTTGTGCTCCAAACATTTTCTGCTGTCGGCTTCAGAACTTAAAAAGATATACAATGGCAGCAAGTTCTAACATAAAATCTTGTGGAACTAGTGAAAAATGGGAAGAATCTGTGTCTTTTTCTATTATTGCTTAGGACTCTCCACCAATCTTGTTGTAAATACCACTAAAAGATCATTTAATACCAGCTTATAAAGATGTGTGGCTTCAGGGGTGTGTTGAGAAGAGATGATTGTCAAGAAGGTATGATTAAGGTAGGTTTCTGAGCAAGAGAGACCATAAGAGAGATTCACGTTTGATTTTTTGTCTTC